TCATGCTTTCTCCATTAAACATTTTTAACCTTTTCATAGAAAAGTATTTAGGGAAATAGTTTGTGAATTTATTTTAAATTTGGCAACTACAGCCCTGGCTAGTTTGGCTCAGTGGTTAGAGTGTTGGCCCACAGACCAAAGAGTCCCGGGTTCAATTCCATCGAAGGGCACGGCACGTACCTCAGTTGTGGTTCGTCCCTGGCCCCAGTTGGGGTCATGTGGGTGGCAGCCAGTCGGTGTGTCTCTCTCACGTTAATGTTTCTCTCTCCCTCTCCCACTCTGTCTGAGGATACATGTAAAAATATCCTCGGTGAGGATTTAAAAAATTGGCAACTGCATTTGAAATAAACAATAGATCTTGATAGTTGGTGGTGCATTATTCAGTATTATTAATCCAGAGTCAGGTCCCTTCTGGGGTTTACTTTACTTTTGACCTCTTCTGTTAATTTGGTAAATGGCAAATTGTGAGGTTGACCTGAAAGGAAAAGAGGTGTTGGAGATGTAGAATCTACAAGATAAGATCATTCTCAGAAGTCCAGTTGGAAGTCTGCTGGACTCACACAAGACGTTGTGTGTAGACCATAGACGAGCGCGGCTGTCGGCTGTACGGCTGTGCTGATTCCATCCAGCAGCTGGGCTGCGGATACAGGCGTGGCGGCAGTGGCAGCCCTGAACGCTCGGGATGCAAGCAGGGTAAATCTTCCTTCAGCAGAACGCCTGGCTGGTGACTGAGCAGCTCACTGTGTTCTAGAAGTTGCTCCTCTGTGCCTTCCAGATTCATCAAGGCCAGCCAAGCAGAGAGATCCCTTTATGGTACGAAAAGAAAGCATGAAAGATTTTTTGACCTGTTTCTCTGTGGTATGCAGGCTTGTAGCTCTGTTTCAGTTCTGGACGTGTGCCCACTGTATATACTTCCAGTGACTCAAGGTGTTCCTTTCCCCCTTTGAGACAGGTGCTCACACCTTTGGGGCCGAGTGAAGGTGCTGCCGCTGCTGTCCCTTCCACGTGAGCGCTTGTGTCTCCTGGAATCGGAAGGGGTGGCTCATCCATTCCAAGCCCCTGGTGGACTTCTGCCTCGGTGAAGGCCTAGGAATGAGGCTGTTGGGTCCCAGGATGGTTATGATACATTTGCAGGTTGTTTTCCAGATCTGCTGTTCTGTTTTACCCTCCTGCCAACCATGCTCAGTTGCCCTGCATCCTTGTCAGTATTTTGGCTGTCAGCCTTTCTGATGTAGCCTGGTGGTAGATGACTAGTGTTTGCCCTCATAGTATGAAGGGTATTTTCACTTGGTACGTAATTCTAGGTTGACATGTTTTTCTTTGAGCATTTGTTTCTGAGGAAAGTCTATGGTTATACTTTTCCTTCCCTGTATGTAGTTTGTTTCTCTGGGCTTTTAAAAAAGATTGTGTTTTCATCACTGGTTTTATGGTTATTCTGATAAGGATTTCTTTCTTTTTTAATCTGTGCGTTTGCTTTCATCAAATTTGGAAAAGTGTCAGCTGTTCTTTCTTCACATGTGCTTCTAAGGACTGCCTCCTTCCCTCCTATGATGTCTTCATGGAGCTTGTTGCATGTGTGTTAGACTGGGCTTGTCTTCGGGTCACTGTCTTCACTCTCTCCCATACAGTGTCAAATATGTTCATGTATTTTAGTTTGTTTCCAGAAGCTCCGCTTGATTTGTTTTAATGTTTTCTATTTCTTCATGTGCTCCTCTGAATCCTTGAGCGTATTCATAATGGTTATTTGAAAGGCCTTGTCTGCTGATTCCATCAAGTCTTTCACTGTAGGGTTTTTCTATTGGTTGTGGGTCATGTTTTCCGATCTGCATATTTAGTAATTTCTTATTGGATGCTGTACACTGTAACAGTCTGTTTAGTGACTGGATTTTGTTCTGTTAGAGGGTTGAACTTTGTTTTGGCTACTAGCTAAGTAACTTCTGGTCAGCTTGGTCCCTTCCAGGCTGTGTTCCGGAGTGTCTAGAGACGGCTTGGTTTAAGGCTGTACCTACTACGAAGGCGCCATCCTTAGTATTCCACTGAATGCCGCAGGGTCACCTGTTGGGAGGAATTTAGGGATCTCCCAGTCCTGTGTAAGCAATGTGTTAAGAAAATGCAGTCCCCATTACAATGAAAATAAAAATATGGGTCAGATGAGCCCTATCTGCCTTCAGTCAGCCTAGAATTAGATGTACTGGCAAATTTGGGGTAGGAAATAAGTTATTTTATGGTATCAGGAATATAGAATGAGACCAAAAAAGACTGGTGGTTCTTCACAGAAGAGCTCGGGGACCATGAGGGATGCAGGCTTTACAGCCAGTAGAGTTTCACAAGCCACGGCAGGTGAGGTGAGCAGAGGATGCTGTAGGTGTTGCTGAGTGAGGGGTCCCGACAGCAGCAGCACTGGCATCAGAGACGGCTAGTTCAGTGCCACACTCCAGTGCCGGGCGGGTCACCAGGCGCCTGCCTGTGTGTCGTGTGGTGGGCAGTAGGCCTGTCTGAACGGGTGGGTTCAGTGCCAAGGCCTGTGGTAGGTGGAGTTTGAAATTCTGTGGACGTTGGGAAAGCATAGGAGAATTTTAGCCTGAGAATGATACAGACAAATTTAGGTTTTTAGGAAGATAATTCTAGCAACAGAATCAAGGATAAAGACAAAAGGGAACCAGATGTAGTATAACAGTGTTGGCATGCATGGGGACACAAGGAAGCAAGAGGGACTTCAGAGATAAAATGGACAGGATCTGAGTATAAATTAGAAGTGTGGTAGAAGGAATGAGCATGGCCTTTAGAAGCAGACAACCTGGGTTTGAATTCTAGCCTTGTATTTGCTAGTGAATGACCTAAAGAAGTCACCTAGGAGAAAATGCTCCTCTTTTGTAAGGTGTTAACATTTTCAAGCACTGGAACTATGAAAATGAATAATACATACATTCTCTAAAGTTTGGTCTAGTCTGGGAGAAAAGAGGTGGGTTTGGGCCAAATTGTATATAGTTTCAGCTGAAATGTTTGGGAGATTGGCTTTATTTTGGAAGCAACTAAAAGCCAGCAAAGGAAGGGTTGGGGGTAGTGTTGGAGTGTGGGGGGTCTCCGAGGATAACGACAGCCCTGGGTGAGCAGTGTGCTCTGCTGGGAACGAGAGGGAGCCTTCCCTTCAGAATGTGACTCAGTTGTCCCATGTGGGCAGCTGGACTGATAGTGCTGCTGTCACCACTCACAGATTCTTAGTGCGTCTGCGGGACCTGGCCGTGCCTGCAGCTTCGTGAAGACGCCCTTTCCCACTCAGGCAGGGCTCTGTGCACACACCTGTGTTTCTCCTTGACAGCATTAGTGGTGCCGTCAGGTAGCTCACTGTGGTTTTCATTCTTCGTGCCCATTTCCACGTCACCTGGACGAGAGCTGTGTCTAGTTTCTTTACGCTCTGTCATCATCCACTTAGTAGATGCTCAGAATCCAGTAGACTTTTTTTTTTCCTCACCCGAGGATATTTTTCCATTGATTTTCAGATAGAGTGGGAGGGAGGGGGAGAGAGAGAAACATTGACGTGAGAGAGACATCCACTGGCTGCCTCCCGCACAACCCCAGCCAGAGCCAGGGATTGAATCACAACCGAGGTATGTGCCCTTGACTGGAATTGAACCCGTGACTCTGGTCCTCGGGCTGATACTCTAACCACGAAGCCAAACCAGCCAAGGCTCTAGTAGACATTTTCTATTGAGGTATAATTGATATGTAACATGTTGATAGTTTTAGCTAGTAGACATTTTTTGAGTGAATGGCTATTCACTCAAATAAGAATTTGCAGGTTAACAAGTATCAACCTACCCAGTGGCTAAATAAAAATGGAGAGGGTGACACCAGTTTTTTCATGTGTGGTCAGGAGGACAGCAAGATGGCACATTCAGGGTGGAGTATTTTGGAAGGTCATTAAGTTTGATTTTAGATGCTGATCCAGGCGGATGTGTACCATTAATGGGTAACAGAGGAGCAGGCTTATAACTCACGAGATTAAGGCTCTAAAAAGATGTCGGGATCTTCATGTGAGGTGCTACAGGAGTGGGTGGCATCACAGAGGAGGTTCAGGGGCCGAGAATAGGAGGCGCCGCCTGCTGCCTGGAAACCTTACAGATAACAGTTGATTAACACATTTTGTATGTTATGTGTTTTATATCTTTTATTCTTACAATAAAGTAGGCCAGAGGAAAGAAAGTTGTTATGAAAATCAGGAAGAGAAAATACAGTTACAGTATTTATTGGGGGAAAAAACTATATAAATGGGCCCATGTATTTCAATCCCATGTTGTTCAGGGGTCAGCTATATATGCATATTAATTTCCTACCATCAACCTATAGGGCACTGGGGTTCTTGGGGACTTGGTTTTTTATACATAATAAAAAGAAATGGACCTCAGTTCCTGCTCCACTGAGAAGTACTCTGTAGACAGACAGTCAGGACTTGACAGTGATCGTTTGGGTGCGTGCTGTAAGCGTCAGAATTTGTATTTTGATAAGAGTTAAGTTCTGATAGATACGTTAAATACTTCATTTAAGAAATAATTGCTACCATATGTTGAGGCCCAAATATGTACCAGGCAGCATCGCTTTATGTCTTTTGAAACATTTTCTCTAATACAACAACCTGCCCCCTGAGACTCACAGGTCAGACCTGCCCACGGCAGGCAGAGGACAGACGCCCCGTGTGTGCCTGACCCGGGAGCTCAGCACAGAGCTGAGTAAAGGCTGGAGGCAGGCAGGCTGTGATGTATTTCCAGCCCCTGTGGAGGGAGGGGGAGGGCAGAGATGGCCAGCCTGTCTGGGTGAGCACAGGGGGCGTGGGTCTGCAGCGAGATACTGGGACCGCCCTGCCTGCCGGCTACAGCAGCCGGGCTCTGTCTCGTGATATGTGGTCGTTTGGATGCTCATAAATATTATTTAAAAATGAATTTGCTTTTATAGTGAATCGTAGAAAATTTTTTCTTTGAAAGTTTATCCAGTTGTCCATGTAAAAAAAATTGAGTGAGGTGTTTTATATTTTAGGTTAAAACTCTGTAAGATCCTGATTTTAGAATCCACCAGCTCCTCAGAAGTTTGGCGAAATATGGTATGTTTGTTTTATTTTTTCGCAATTCAGAATTGCATGTGTATCTTAATGTCATGGTCAGAGTGATGACAGATATGTTCAGCAAGCCTGGGTGCCGCCAGTTTTACAGCATCGTGCTAGGTGCCGAGTCACGGTGCTGCCACCTGGACTGCAGGAGGGACCTCCGTGGGGTCTGGAAGCACTCGGGAGAGGTCACTGTGCTGTGAGGGGACAGACAGTGTGCCTAAGGAGAGCAGGGCAGGGCTGGCTGTCAGGCTGCAGGTCACAGTGGCTTCCGTTTGTCAAGAGGTCGCTGTGTGCCCGCACTGTTCTGGGCATCCTCACACGGCCTCTGAGATGGACGCTGCTGTCACTCCGTCCACCTGTGAGGGGAACAGGCTCAGAGATTAGGCCCTTGCCCGGGAGTCCCCAGCCAGCACGTGACAGACAGGGACTCGCGCAGACTGGCTCTGGGCCATGTGCTGTGTTGGGCCTGAACCTCGGGAGGAAGGGGCTGGATGCAGGACTTGGTTCTGATTCTAAACTGCGTGCAGCTCTTTAGTGAATTAATGTACATCAGTTTATTAATGAAAAGGCATTTTGACTTTCTCATTTTTATGTTTACGGGTGGGAAAGTTAGAGTTGCTTGAACCTTCTAAATCCAAATACACTGTCTGATGAGAGTTCAGGAGGGGATGTTGCTCGTGTCAGGGGACCACCATGACCTCTTCCCTGTAGGACCTCAGCAGTGTTCTGGGTTCTTGTTAGGAGGCAGGAAAATCTGGGAAATGGAGTGATTTCCAGGGATGATATGTCCCATGTTTTGGAGTCCCCTAAAGTTACCTGCGTACTTAGGCCAGCCCTCACCCTCCCACAGACTCACACTGAAATATCAGCATAACTGTGGGTCCCCAAGTCCTTACTCATTTACTGTGTTTAAGTGATGAAAACGTGTGTTAGAAAACTAAACAAATCAGAAAATTCTAACACTGGATAGAAAGTCAGTAGATCTGAGTTTTATCCCTAGCTTTACTACTAATTCTAAAATCTTAGTGAAGTCCATTAATCACTCTGAGGCTGCTTATTCATTTACTTTTACAATTCTTACAGTAGTGTCTGTCCTGATCAGGGAGAGCCTAAGTTGTCATGAGACTGAAACAAGATGGTGTTGACCAAAGTGCTTGGTAAAAGTACGAGAGATTATTACCACGTTGTCTCCCGTGAAGAGATCACTTAAGGGAAAAAAGTCTGGAAAATAGTCTTTAAACAATTTCTATAATTCTTCTGATGAATGTTCCATTAACACCTAATTTGAAGCTTCAAAGATTATTTTTTGAACAGGGAATCGGATGTACATATTAAAGTGTTCTAACTAAAGATTTGTTTAATTTGTTAGAGTGATTAAGTCTCCGCTCAGATCAAGTTGGCAGCTAGACGGGGCGGCAACCTGCTTCTAATCAGGGACGCGAAGCTGTGCCCACCCGGATGCCGACGAATGGCCACAGCTTGTAAAAGGTAATTTCCGAACCTTGTCCCACAGCCTCTAAAAGGCTGTTGTCGTCAAATCAGATGTGGGCTGCACAGAAGCAGAGAGAAGGGCAGCTGGTGGGAACAGCGCTGAGCTCGGGCCCTCGAGCAGGCCTTCCTCGTTTCGTCTCCTGGAGCACTTCGTGCTCCCATCCGTCTCTGAAGGCACCATTTCAGTAAACATTTTATTTTGAACATTATGAAAATGTTCTTACTGTGCATGTTAAAGTGTGCATTGCATGGTGAGTGCATGATGGGCCGTGTCGGCGCCAGGGCAGTCCTGCGGGAGGAGCTGCGTGCAGGCCGGGGCCCCCGCTCGGTTCAGGGCAGTGGGCGGCGGGACCACGGCCCCGCCATCCACATCGAGGCCTGAGCCTGGGACTCTTCTGGGCCTTATTTTCTACTGCTCCTTGCTTATTGTTTCAGTTGTAAATTTTGTTTCTGATTTGTTATTCTGACAAGGCTGCAAGTTAACCTGAGTCAGAAGTTTTAGTTTTCCTTTCCATCATTTCTCCCGAATGTGGTAAATTGTGAGCATGTGTTGGGTCCTTACTTCTGAAAGCCTGGCAGTACAGAGTAAAGTCTTTTACATGTTAGACACTTCGTAGTTTTGAGAGTTTGGAATTCTAACTTTTGGATAGTTTTTGATAAATTATTCCGAATACTGTTAGAAATATGCTATAAGCAAAATAACTAGAAATTCAGATGTTACTGTTATTATTCACTGCAAGAAAAGTGTTTCTGCTAGTTCTGTGTATATTTACTTTTCTCTTGATTAGAAAACAGTTTTCCCTTGTGAGTAAAAATGTCTGTGTTAACCACGAGTGAGACCTGTTTTAGGGTCAAACAGTTTTTACATCTTTTGTTTTTCTTTTAGATGAATTTAGAGTTCTTGGTTTGACTGTAATGGTTTTTAGTAGCTTGCTTTAACTTGTTAATTAAATGATAATTGAAGATATTGACAGTAGTTGGGCAATGTTCTGATGCTAATATTTACAGTCTCTTGTTTAGGGATCAGAAAATTGGGAAGTTGAATGTAGTTGTCATCTGATAATGTCTTTAACCTCTGTCCCATTTCATAATCTCGACTTGGCGGCAGTTACACACTGTGCTTCTGAGACACGGACCTCCTTCTCAGTGTCTTACCTTTTTGCAGTAGTAGTTTAATTTTCCTGTCATTGTGTCCTCATTTTCCCTCTCTTTCTCTTTTCCTGTTAATTTAGAAAGTTTTGCCGCCTACATGTTTGAAAGCTGCTAACCTGCCTCTCTGCCCTCCGTGCAGGGGCTGGGTGGTGGGCAGCCTGCTCTGCCCCTCGCAGGTGGCAGCTGGAGGGGTGCACTTTCAACACGAGTCATAGGGTGCCGTCAGGGTTGGCGCTTCTGTCAGAGAGACCAGTTTGGAAGCAATCTTGGGGTACTTGCCCACGAGGCTGGTGGAGACCAGGTGTGTCACCAAGGTGATTTGCTTGCTCCCTGGGGACAGGGTGCATGAGATTGCGCGTGTGTGTCACAGCCGAGTCGCTGCCGCCTCCAGCCAGCGTGCGGAGCTCGCCCCTGAGGCGTCGTGCCTGGTTGAGAAGGTGGAGATCTGCAGAGCAGCCCTGAAGTAGACACGGCGCTGCTGGAGCCTGTTTTCCCTGAACTGCGACCTGCAGTGAGGGCTAATTTTGAAAGTTTGGTAAAGAAATTAGTTTTTTAAAAGATAAACGTGCAAAACACTTTTTTTTCTTTTGCTGGTGGCTCTAATTTTAAGATTCTTTTGTCGAAGTTGTTCAGCATTTGAAGTGTCAAGTCTGGTAAATTCACAAATCTAGTTCTTGTAAAGTCACTGTGAAAATTTATAGCTTCTGACCTCTGATATATATTTTACTTAGAGAATTTGAAAGTGTTAGGAATCTGTTGATCCACCTTACTGTACATTGACTGATGCTGTTTATAAAAGTGACTAGGGTCAGGGTAGCAGGAATTCATTTCTTGAACAGTGTGGTAGGGATAGGCAAAATTGGGTCATGCCCCCAAATGAAAGTAAAAGGCTTAGCGTTTTAGAGTTTTGAAAATTTCTATGTGAGATAGCAGCAATCCATTAAAAATGATAGAAAATACCTGACAGCTGTTGATGACTGATGTGACTCACAGCTGCCACAGCAGAGCCGCCATGCCCGGTGGCACACATCCTGCCAGTGTATCTTCAGGGAAAGCTAATTCCATTGCTGGACCAAAATAGTCATGGTCAGAGTGGTGAATCCGACTAAACCATCTCAAAATTCACTGAAGCTGTGAGATTTCAACATGGTCTATCTAGAGCAGAGGTAGGCAGACTTTTCTTAAAGGGCCAGGTAGTAACTCTTTTAGTCTGGGGCCGTCGTCTGCCAGGTTTCTCAGTGCTCAGCTTGTCATCCCAGGCAGTGGTGGCTGACCCCTGACCTAGAGTTTGGGACTGCGAACACCAGTGAATACCTTTGACATTGTGGATAATTGGTTGTAGAAAGTTTCATAGTTGTATGTTTTTATTACAAATATTTGACTTTGTGAATAGTTATGACTTATTATACTCGTTTGTATATTGGTGTCTAAATACAGTATCGACAGTTCCCTTTACTCAATGGAAACGCACAGAGTGTGTGCTGGTCAGCCCTACAGCGAACGTGTTGCATGCAGTCCGACCTGGCCACTTTTCCTCATGTTGAAATCCTTACTTTCAGAACTGTTAACGATTCAATCTTGTTTTAAAATTTGTCTTCCCAAGTAACATCTGCCACTTTTTGGAATATGGAGTATTTTGCTTAACTTTCCTCAATTGTGTTTTGCAGATCACCAGGAGAACCTCAGTCTGACGACATTGAAGCTAGCCGAATGTAAGTGCGCCCGGGGCTGCGATGGCTTTCCCGTTGCCCATACTACTTGAAACAGTGTCACCTGTTGGGAAATAATTTTCAGTTAAGAGAGAGTGATGTTCTAAAAAACAACTGGGGGGGGGCTGTAGGGTTCCTAACCTACAGACGTTCAGTCTGCTCAGTGGGAAACACAGAGGCAAATCATTGTAGTCAGTGTGGTGGGAGACGCAGTGAGGACGTGATCCGCGTGGTGGCGGACGCACTCGGGACGTGATGAGTGAGGTGTGGGTGACGCAGTGGGGACGGGATGAGTGAGGTGGGGGGACGCACTCGGGACGAGACGAGTGAGGTGGGGGGACGCAGCGGGGACGTGACGGAAGACCGGAGTACTTGGGTGTGCAGGAACCCAATCCAGAGGGCAGGGCAATTGGGATGCAGTGGTTCTCAACCTTCCTCATGCCCTGACCCTGTAATACAGCTCCTCGTGTGTGGGCGCATCTGCACGTGGGCGGACCCGCCTGGGGACGGATAGAGGAGCTGTGCCTCGGTTCCTAAGACCGTTGGAAATATGTGTTTTCCCACGGTCTTAGGTGACCCCTGTGAAAGGGCCATTCAACCGCCAGGCTGAGAACCGCTGCTCTGCGTGGTGCTGGGAGGCAGGTGGCTGGAAGCGGGGCGGCCGCTCTGGGAGAAGCCTGCGCAGTTTCGAGGCAGCGTCCTGAGTGTCCCGACCGGCAGGCAGCAGGCAGTGGAGGGTGTTTGGATCCCAGGCTGACCGAATGGCAGAGGGTAGGGGTGCGGCTGACAGGAAGCACCGAGCCCTTGTGCACTGCGCACACCTTGGCCTGCCGCTCCTGAGATTGGTGAGTCAGGAAGGGATTTTTTTTTTTTTTTATCCTCACCCAAGGACATTTTTGCATTTATCTTTAGATAGAGCAACAGGAGAGAGGAAGGAAGAGAGCGAGAGAGAGAAACATCAAGTGATCGCCACCCACACGACCCCAACCGGGGCCAGGGACAAACTGCAGCCGAGGTACCTGCCCTTAGCAGGAACCGAACCCGGGACTCTCTGGCCTGCAGGCTGATGCTCTAACCCAGTGGTTCTCAACCTTCCTGATGCCGCGACCCTTTAATACAGTTCCTCACGTTGTGGTTACCTCCAACCATAAAATTATTTTCGTTGCTACTTCATAACTAATTTTGCTACTGTTATGTATCACCATGGGAAATAAGTGTTTTCTGATGGTCTTAGGCAACCCCTGTGAAAGGGCAACCCACAGGTTGAGAACCGCTGCTCTGACCGCTGAGCCAAACCGGCCAGGGCAACCGTGTGACTTTTTAACAAACAGTTTTGAATAGTGTTCTGTGGAACCTAGAGTTTGGTGAGGGATTTGTGAACTGCAGGTTTGGGAAGCTGCAGCAGAGTGGGTCAAGGAGTGGACCAGGTGCTCTGAGAGTCGGTCTCCATGCTTCTGAGTGGCCAGCCGAGGTCAGAGACGACCTCCTGTGAGACGTGGCAGTGTGGTGTTCCGGGGTTGGAGCGCGCAGAGCAGGGAGGACAGACCCCTGGTGGCACGTGTGTGGGTGTAGACGTTGGAGTAGCTGAACTACGTTGTAGGCAGTGGCCACGGGTAGAAGATGGTGTGCAGAAGGCCTGAGAGGTCGGAGAGGTGGTTCCGTGTTGAGTGAAACTCTTACCAGGACAGATGATGGTGGAGGGTGTGCGCTCATTGTGCCGAGGTGGTGATTGGCTGAAACAGAGTGGTGGTGGGGCCCCTAAGTTATAGCCATGTGTTTTGGGGCCAGTGTTGGACTAGATCGGGCACACAGACATTCAAGTCCATGCGATGGTGTAATTGGGGGCAAAATAGAACCTTTGGGGTGTGGGTGTGATTCGCAGAGCACTGCAGACAGGAAGAGGGAGCTCCGACAGGCAGCGTGTCAGGGTGCCAGCGGTGTGGGGTGTCGTCTTTGGGGAGGTGAGCACTGTGTTTCTAACACAGGAGGCAGGAGAAGAAAGGTGGCCCTGAAGGGTGTACCTGTCTGTGAAGCCTCCCACACGAGGGCTGCGCGAGCGGCAGCTGGGGGAGCCAGACCTCCGTGAGCGCGAAGAGGCTCGGGGACCGCTGGATGGCGCAGTTGAGGGCTGGGGACGGCCTGCGTCAGAAGTGTGTTTCTAGAGCCCTTGGTGCTCAGGTTAGCAGGGCGCATGGAGCAAGAGGGGGAAGAGGAGAGAGCCGTGGTGCAGAAACCAAGGTGGCGAGGGTGAGGCAGGACAGGGTGTCCGCTACAGGCTCACGGAGAACCTGGGCTCGTAGGTTCTGCTGGATTAGCAAGCTGTCGTATTGTTCACTCGACTGGGTGAGGTGTCGGAACAGGAAACTGGAGCCATCGTGATGTCTGGACAGAGGTGTCCGGGTTCTGACCGGGATGGCTGCGGGGACACAGCTCTGGTCTCCTGTCCGCCAGGTCCTCGCACCCTGTGCCCACAGGGCCCCAGCCAGGCACCATCCAGCGGGTGCCTGGGACAAGGTCTGCTCGACGCTACCTCACGGTCCTGGCTTACAGCACAGGTGACGAAGGGTTCTGGGTGTCGCCTGAGAATCGGGGCGCCTGGCATTCCTGAGCGTGGATTCGGGCACGTGAGACGCAGCCTGCCCTGCATTTCACATAGGGACTCATGCCGAACCGAGGAAGGTGCCCGTTTGTGTGCAGGGGTTTTAGTGTCGCCTGTTTTCCAGGGTGCAGAAAAACAACATTTTAACAACTGCACATCATTTTATAGTTTAGCCAAAAAATGGAAGTAACACAATAATGCAGATCATTTTATTCAGTGGTAGGTATATCTCCCTGGATTTTGTTCAAATTTATATATACCAGGTAGTAGAGTCTTTTTTAACATAATGTAGACTCGTTAATTTTCTTAATGATTTTGAAGTGATTTGCAGTAAACCCGTATCTCTCCTCCTGGTGGTTACTCCCTGCCCGCCTGCAGCGTGTGGGCTGTGTGTTCAGGTGTGACGGAGACAGTCCGTAGAGCGAGGGTTTATGGCTCAGTATTTAACAAGGCTGCTTAGGTAGCACGCAGCTTTCTCTGCGTGTCGGGATGACCCAGGACACACTCCTCAGGCCGTCACTGTCCTTTCTCTCCAGACGAGAGCTTTACCTGACTGCGCTCATATTTCTGTCTCCAGCTCCGACTTACCCTCTGAATCCTCTTCTCTTACCCAATAACTGAATGTCTGCTTCTCAGACTTAACAAATGTTTTACTTTATAAAGACTTGCAAACATGCAGCCAGGTTGGAAGGAGTTTCCAGTGGACACCGTTTGGCTGCCACCTGGACTCCAGCACTAGTGTGTTCTCACACCCTCCTAGCTCGCCTGGCCACGTTTCAGAGTTAATTGCTGAGACCGGTACACTTCTCTCCTAAGGTGAAACATTTTTTTTTTTTAATCCTCACCCGAGGACATTTTTCCATTTTTTGTTCAGGTAGAGTGGGAGGGAGAGAGAGGAACAGAGAGAGAGAGAGAGAGAGAAACATCGATGTGAAAGGAACACATCGAGTGGCTGCCACCCGCACAACCGACCAGGGCTTGGGACAAACTGCAACCGAGGTACGCGCCCTTAGTGGGAACCGAACCCGGGTCTCTCAGGACCGCAGGCCGACGCTCTAACCGCTGAGCCAAACCGGCCAGGGCAAGTGAAACCATTTTTAAGAAGATTTCTGTCAGGTTTTCTAGAGTAACTCTGGCCCTCCTCCTATGATTGATTCCATAGAACATCTGCATCACTAATTTAGTCATAGAAATAAAATAAATGATGGGAAATGTTGTCTTTCAAATGTAGTCATAGAAATAAAATAAATGATGGGAAATGTTGTCTTTCAAATGTGTGAGCACTTTTGGATGTCTGCTTTGACTTGGAGACTCGCTCCCAGGCCTCACTGGATGGCCATTGCCGACACGGTGAGAAAGCACTTTCTGGAAGACCAGCTGCTGCAGAGCACTGGTTTGTTTGGGCAGCAAGACGGGTCAGGGAGACGTGAGGGAGTCATAGTGAGTGTGCCCAGCTCTTCTGGTAGCTGGGTTGTGAACGGCAGGTGACGTGTCCCTGAACTTCCTTCTGTTCTTTCCATGTCTCTCTCCTCTTCCCTCCTCCTCCTCCCTCCCCTCCTTTTCTTCCATTATATTTGGGGAAGGCATGCACTTCACTGCCCTGAGGGGAGAGAGCAAGGCCGTGGGATTCAGTGGAAGTGTCACTGGAGGGCAGAGGGCACAGGGCACGGCTCTAAATAAAGATGAGAGATTCTGCTGTGAAGGGCCAGGTGGTGTGTGTTTTAGTCTTTGCAGGCCGTACAGTGTCTGTTAATCTACTCAACTCTGCTCTTAGAAGACTCTCTCATTTTCTTAACGATTTCAAAGTACTGTATTTCTCTTCTTGGTAGTTAGTCCCTACCCCTGTCTAAGACGTGGGCTATGAGTTCAGGTGTGTAACTAAGACAGTCCATAGACAGTCCATAGCGAGGGTAGATACATGGAGTGGTTTGTGGTTCAGTATTTAACCAGGCTGCTTAAATAGCTGCAGTCTATACGTGAATGAGCTTGGACACTGGAACATGAATTTTATATATTTCCATGTCACAAAATGTCCTTTTTCTGACCCTTTCAACCATTTACAACTGTGAACGCCACTCTTAGCTCGCCGGCTGTGAAGCACAGGTGAGGGCGAGGTTGGCCCCTGAGCTATGGTTTGGCGAGTCCTCCTGTGTAGGAATTAACCTTGTGACAGTTGTTACCAGACTGTCATTAGTGTGCACATTCCCGACTATGTGCTCCAAATTTGATAAAGACACAAAAGTGTACACAGATAATTCAAGGTGCCATTGGAGTGAGGGAAAAAGAAACCGCTCACTGCTCGATGGAAAGGAGGTTCGGCGTGGCTTCCTCTCAGTCCTGTCGGGGTGTCGCTGCTGTTTCTAAGCCACTGGGTGGAGAAGCAGATCCAATAGGGGCCTGCTCTTCCCTCACTGCTAGTAAGTCTCCTTCAGTGGTATTACAAGTCCAGGTTTCAGATTGAGGCCTGGGTTCAAGTGAGTCTGCCTGGATGCGCCTCATAGTGCAGCTGCCGCGAGCACGCGCAGAGGAGGGTCAGCGTCCAGTTCATAGACTAGAGGATGGAGGCCATCAGTAAAACCGCGCCTAGCTCTCCATGGTGCTCACTGTGCGCCAGGCGGTGTTCTGCACACTCTGTATAATTAACTCACTCAGCTCGCGCACGATCATGGTGATTCTCATGCGTGCCACCATTTTAAAGAGGAGGAAGCTGAGACACAGGAGGGTTAGGGAGCCCATCGAGGGCCACAGGTGAACAGTGCAGAGCTAGCATGCGCACTGGACAGCCGCAGGGTGTCGCTCTTCACTGCGGTCCACGCCTTCTCTGGTGGGAACATCTGTCCTCAGCAAACGGCAGATATGTTCACAGAACAGAGTGGTGTGCGTGTGCAATACCAGGTATCATGTGTGATACGAGATTCAAATAACGATTTTTCAGAAGGAGTTTTAATTTTTTTCAGTTGCCCATTATGGGATTTTTTTCATAAAAGTTTTTAGTGCTACAGTTGTTGGGAAGTACTTTGAATTGATTCGCTCCCTGTGGAACAGTGGCAGTGACCGAGACCGAGGAGGCTCTGGGCTCCTGTTCTCGTCCTGGCTCTGCCTTCCGCTGTGTGAGCTTGGGGGCGCGATGGGATCTTTCAGCTCTGTGCCCTCTGGGGCTGTGAGCGGAGGTGACCTCACCTGAGTCGGGTTCACAGGTCACCGAGGTCAGTGTTGAGCAGATGGTCCTGCCTCGCGCCCTCTCTGTGACATAGGACAGCATAAGGGTTAGAGCTGGAAGGGTCTCCAAGAGGGGAAGAGGGGACCCGGGAGAAGGGCCCGCTCCAGCTCATACAGCAGCTGCGCAGAGGGTTCCGCGCTCCCAGTCCTCCGACCCGCCCACGCCCGGTGCGCAGAGGGTTCCGCGCTCCCAGTCCTCCGACCCGCCCACGCCCGGTGCGCAGAGGGTTCCGCGCTCCCAGTGCTCCGACCCGCCCACGCCCGGTGCGCAGAGGGGGCCGCGCTCCCAGTCCTCCGACCCGCCCACGCCCGGTGCGCAGAGGGGGCCGCGCTCCCAGTCCTCCGACCCGCCCACGCCCGGTGCGCAGAGGGTTCCGCGCTCCCAGTCCTCCGACCCGCCCACGCCCGGTGCGCAGAGGGTTCCGCGCTCCCAGTGCTCCGACCCGCCCACGCCCGGTGCGCAGAGGGGGCCGCGCTCCCAGTCCTCCGACCCGCCCACGCCCAGTGCGCAGAGGGGGCCGCGCTCCCAGTCCTCCGACCCGCCCACGCCCAGCGTGCAGCCTGTGTAGCGCTGTGGTGTGGTTTGATTTTTAGGTATTTTTATTAGATAATTAGCTAGAGTGTTTTGGTATTTTGATTTTTTTTTTTTATAATTAAAAAAATCCTGTGGACAGTTGTGTAAAACCTTGAGGTCACTTAAATTGTATAGGTGAAATTTTAAAACCGCTAACATTTTTTCCACTCGTATTGATTAATTGCAAGTAGTGTGTTTATTGTAGAAAAAATAAATTAGAATCAGAAACACAAAAGAATTTTTAAGATCCGTTCAGTTGTAGTATTGAGAGAAAAGGACCGTTGGACTGACCTGGACGTGGGCTTGTCCTGCACTCCTGGCCGTGCCGCTCGCTCCTTGCCACGCTCAGGTCAGTGATGTCTTGACCCACTGAGTGAGCGGTGATTGTTTAGTCATCTAGCAGTGGGCATGTCGGGTTTTTCCCTCAGATTTTATAGAACACATTTTTGCAAAATTGTCCCATTATTTCCCACAAGTGGGTCTCTCACTTGCATGGTTCATCCTCTGATTCATCTTGAAGACTTGTGCTACGTGTCCGTGCTTGTGTCCGTGCTTCTCCAGAACGGAGGTCCTCCCTGGGAGCTCTCTTAGGGAGCTCCTGGCTGCAGCGGGAGGGTGGCAGGACCTCCCGTCTCTGCTGAAGACTGGTGTGCGGTAGCATCTGGAGCCTCTTTCTGCACTTGTGGTCGCTGCACTATTTCACAGAGAGATATACCCAGAAGAATAACCCTTCATTTTCAAAAATGGGCTTGTGTATAGCTCTATAAAATACAATATTTCAAGTCATGTTTATGTGGTTTTTAAGTGTTTGGGGAGGGGGTTTCTTTTCCCTCTGTCTGCGTGTAGTGAGGGGTTCGTTTGCACAGGGCACCTGAAGAACAGAAGTTCCAGAAGGAACAGATGTGTCCGCGTTCTGACTTCTGTCACCTCGGTAGTTTAGAGACAGCACCCTACTTCTGAGGGGAAGTTGGGCTCGTTCATGTGTCCCTCCCTCATCTGCTGCTTGTTTGCCTTCTTGTGAGTGTTTGGTTGGTCATGATTAACAAGATGTGTATCTCACAACTAACAAGATGCAAACTCGAATGCATTTGCCGTGAAGTCCTGCGGAAAAATAGTAAAATAATTGTGGGAACAGTTTGAGATTTAGGTAAATTTTTTTATAGTTTTGATTACTTGTAGTTTTTATTCCTGTCCATGTGAACTTGGGACCAAAAGGAATGGACCTTGGAGCCGAGAGTCATGGAGATGGGGACGTGGTCCTGCTTCATGCTGGGCAACGTGTGATCCCTCTTCAGTGTTGGCGGCAGCCGTAATCCACCTCCTTCCAGCTCACAGAGAGAGAGGAATGTACGATTTTTGCCTTAAGGGAATTTAAGGTAGTTCCTGTTCCTATGACATGAGATTGATGAGGAAGTTTGACAGTGTTTTAGGTTCATGATTGTATGATAACACAGTATTGGGTATTTCACGTATAAATTTATTGTAAAATCCCCTGTGTGGAAGATAATTGAGGGGAAAACATGTTTTCTTCCAGATGGAACTTCTGAGTTAGCTAAGAGCAGGTATTTTACAAATGTGACGTGGAGCAATTATAGAAAGGAAGGCTGGACTGACACTTTAAATAGACTCGTTTTTTAATGTTATTTTTTGAAGTGATAAAATACTAAAACTGTTGGCCATAAACCTTGTGATTTTCACCTGTTACGATAAACAGTTTACATTTACCATCGATCAAGCCCTTCCCCATTTATTTATTTATTTATTTATTTATTTAAATTCTCACCTGAGGACATTTTTCTATTTATCTTCAGATAGAGTGGGAGGAAGGGAGAGAGAGAGAGAGAGAGAGAGAAACATCGACTGGCTGCCTCCCCCACAACCCCAACCAGGGCCAGAGATGAGTCACAACGGAGGTACGTGCCCTAGGCCGGAATCGAACCCGAGACTCATTGGTTCTCGGACTGACGCTCTACCACGGAGCCAAACCGGCCAGGGCAGCGCTCCTCGTTTTTAGACCAAAGGAAAACATGTTCTGTTAGAACAGTGACTTTGATTAGCTCTGGTGTTTATCATAGCGTCTCGGGAAGCAGTGATCAGATGTCTCACTGGTGAAAGGTCCCGGTCCGTGGACCCGTCTCCTGCAGCGACCTGAACGTGCAGGTGCTTGACTAACTTGCTGCGGAGCTTCCCCGGAGCGCTTACTAACCACGTGCTGTCCTTTGGACGCCCGCACAGGAAGCGAGCAGCCGCGAAGCACCTGATAGAGCGCTACTACCACCAGCTGACCGAGGGCTGTGGGAACGAGGCCTGCACCAATGCCTTCTGTGCTTCCTGCCCGGCTTTCCTTCGCATGGACAACAATGCGGCCGCTATCAAAGCCCTCGAGCTTTATAAGATTAACGCGAAACTCTGTGACCCTCATCCCTCCAAGAAAGGGGCCAGCTCAGCCTACCTGGAGAACTCGAAAGGCGCCGCCAACGCCTGCCCTGACGTGAGGATGAACAAGAAGGACGGACTTGGAGCGAGAAATGATTTTAAAGGTAAGAGCCTGTCTCAGGGAGGATTCTGACTGAAAACCAGCGTGGAGATTTAAACAACAGGCGAGGGTTTTGTCTCGTCTTTCTTTAGGGCGTGATAGCATAGTGGGACCGATTGTTTTATGGTGGTGAAGGACAAGTAATGATCTAGTCGATGATGTAATTATGTTTTACTGTCCCAACGGTTTCTGATTAGAAGCAGTTTCTTTGTTAATAGCGTGAGTGGACTTTTACACATCTTCCACTAGGAAAAATAGAAGTGATGGCTAGTCTCTGGAACTAAGTCTGCTGAGTTGGACAGCGCGCGTGGCGTGGGTTGTGGGACCCCAGCACTGCGGCGGAGGGGCAGGACGAGGGGGGCTTCTGTTTCTGAAGGCAAGGCAGACTGACAGCTGCCTGAGGAGTCCCTCCACTCTCCCTCTGGTGCATCTTCCCACGTTCCGCTCACCTTCCTCCAGGCGTTGGGCACACACGCTGCCAGTCGCCTGCCCGTGGCCGTCTGCCCAGGCGTCCTCCGTTTTTCCACAGTTGTTAACGCCTCTTCTTCTTTAAAGCCTCACCTGCACACTTGCTGTCCCTGGAGAGGGTGATCAGTACTAGTAACAGGATACGTGCACCTCTGGGTGACTGGCAGGGCTCAGGCCCGCCAGAGCTGGTTGTCTTCTGGGAGGGGAAGCTCCTTGCTCAGGACACGAGGTGGACAGTGCGCTTTCTCCACCCGATTGCTGCCCAGGTGGCCGTGTTTGTCCTTGGGAGAGCGTAGACAGGAGTGGCACCTCACTCTCCTCAGTCACTCGGTGTCCACCGGGACAGCGAGGAAGGGAAAGTTTGGTTCTAATGCCCAGACAAGTGACCAGGGCTGTTAGCAAAGTGAAGCTGAAGGAGCCTCCGCGTCCTGAGCACAGAGCGGTGACGTCAGTCTCAGTCCCTGCTTGGGAGCAGGGTTGTGAGGGGTCCTGGCCCCGTCGGCACCTGGCAGTGTGGCTGTCTCCACATGAAGATGCATGTTGCTGTGCACAGTGCTTGTGAGAAGCCTTTGTGCTCCCTGAAGGCTGTGTGGTACTGACAGAACGTCCAAGGTGGGGGAGGTGGTTGCGGCTGGTAGCTTGTTAAAGGTGGGTTTTGTTGACTCTAGGTATTTCTTTTTTAAACAGAGTTGCAAGTCATTAATGGTATTGAATGAAAGATGTTTGGTTATTTTACTTTTCACTAGAACTTAATAAAACAAAGTAAATACATTTATATCCTGAAAGTAAATGTTCTCTTTTTTCCTCTAATTTTCTAGATGTGACTTACCTAACAGAAGAAATAGTATACGAAATTCTTGAATTATGTAGAGAGAGAGAGGATTTCTCCCCTTTAATCCGTGTTATTGGAAGAGTGTTTTCTAGCGCTGAGGCATTGGTACAGAGTTTTCGGAAGGTCAAACAGCACACCAAGGAGGAACTGAAATCTCTTCAAGGAAAGGACGAAGACAAAGACGAAGATGAGAAGGAGAAGGCCGCAGGCTCTGCCGCCATGGAGGAGGGTTCCGAGGCCTCCTCCTCCAGGGTGGGCGACGACGCACAGAAGCTGGGCCCGGAGGATGTGTCTGTGGACATCGAGGCCGTCAGAAGGGTCTACACCAGGCTGCTCTCGAATGAAAAAATAGAAACTGCCTTTCTCAATGCACTTGTGTACTTGTCACCTAATGTGGAATGTGACTTGACATATCACAACGTCTACTCCCGAGACCCTAATTACCTGAATCTGTTCATTATTGTAATGGAGAATAGAAATCTCCACAGTCCTGAGTATCTGGAAATGGCTTTGCCGTTATTTTGCAAAGCAATGAGTAAGCTGCCCCTTGCAGCCCAAGGAAAACTGGTTAGACTGTGGTCTAAATACAGTGCAGATCAGATTCGGAGAATGATGGAAACATTTCAGCAACTTATCACTTACAAAGTCATAAGCAATGAATTTAACAATCGAAATTTAGGGAACGAGAGAAATCTAGTTAATGATGATGATGCTATTGTTGCTGCTTCAAAGTGCTTGAAAATGGTTTACTATGCAAATGTAGTGGGAGGGGAAGTGGACACAGATCACAATGAAGACGACGACGAAGAGCCCATCCCCGAGTCCAGTGAGCTGACGCTGCAGGAGCTGCTGGGAGAGGAGAGAAGAAACAAGAAGGGGCCCCGAGTGGACCCCCTGGAAACGGAGCTGGGCGTTAAGACTCTGGATTGTCGGAAACCACTGATCCCTTTCGAAGAGTTTATTAACGAACCACTGAATGATGTTCTAGAAATGGATAAAGATTATACTTTTTTCAAAGTAGAAACTGAGAACAAATTCTCCTTTATGACATGTCCCTTTATACTGAATGCTGTCACGAAGAACTTGGGACTGTATTACGACAACAGGATCCGCATGTACAGCGAGCGGAGAATCACTGTTCTCTACAGCTTAGTTCAAGGCCAGCAGTTGAATCCGTATCTGAGACTCAAAGTCAGACGCGACCACATCATAGATGATGCACTTGTCCGGGTAAGTCGGGGGCGTTCAGTGAATTCATTTTATAAGTGATCCTGAAAACAAGAGGAATGGTGTTATAGGACGTAGGGACACATGGACATGTTTTTCTTTTGTACTGAATTTATTGGGGTGACACTGGTTAATAAAAGTATACAGGTTTCAGGTGTACAGTTCTATGATACATCATCTGTATATTGTGTGTTCACCACCCCAAGTCAAGTCTCCTTCACTATTTATTAATTGTAAATACTCTTGTTGTTCCTGTCCAACTCAGTAGGTGTGTTCCACAAAGTATTGGTTGTCTTTTATAATGATCCCCCTCTCTTTGAAAAAGAATAGATGTTCTAACTCTTGACAACTAACCCCAGAAGTTTCTCCATTCAGACCAGAGCACGGGACCAAGGACAATGTGGAGATAGCTAATAATAAATGAGAATTGGTACAATAAAACCACATCCTAAGTAGTAAGTGTCGTCCTAATCTCTCATCATGTAAAATTCAGTTGCATTACTGTGACGTTGGTTGAGGGCCAGGGCAGGCTGGGCGTGCTGCTAGTAAGACTGCCTGCTGACTGGGGGAGCCTCTGCCACTTAAAATCCGTGTGGCCCACTCTGGGTCTTGGAGTTGGTGGCACTTCTGGGAAAACAGCTCTTTCTGGAACGTTGCGATTTACACTGCCTGTTCCCATCAAGCCCACCCAGGGAGACGGCTGGGAGCACAAGTGCCACCTCCACCTTCCCGCTTCTCCAGCGTGGTTGACAAGGCCGCCTTTGTTGTTTTTATCCTCACCTGAGGACATTTTTTGCATTTGTTTTCAGATAGAGCAGGAGGGAGAGGGAGAGAGAAACATCGATGTGAGAGAGACATAGCGACTGGCTGCCACCCACAAGACCCCAACCGGGGCCAGGGATGAACCGCAACCGAGGTACGTGCCCCTAGTGGGAACCGAACCCCGATCTCTCTGGTCTGCAGGCCGATGCTCTAACCACTGAGCAAAACCAGCCAGGGCCCAAGGCTGCCTTTTTAAGCGGACGTTAGGTTATCTTTTAAATGAGTTTTGCTTAATTATGTCAACACTGAATATGATTTGATCTGTTATAAATCCGTATTCAGTGGATGTACCTGAACTTGAACGTGAGCAGTCCAAACGCAGCTTGCTGCAGAAATCCCGCGTGCAGGCACTTCCTGAGCTGAGCGGACGGACCAGGGCCCGGGAGGTGCTGGGCGGCTCCGTGCTCTTGCTCACACCACGCAGATGCCACGCGTAACGTCCTTAGACAGCAGTGGGGAGAACAGGGAGTAAGCTTCACAGTAGGTCTTGGAAGTCAGAATTGATAATTGGCCTTTTTTTTTTTTTTTAATATTCATAGCATATAGTAAAGTCACAATGTGTTAGTAACAAAAGTAGTTGAAGGTCACCCTCTCGAGTCAACTATCAAAAGTGCTAATGGGTTTTTAACATCTTATTCTCGAAGGAGCTTCATTCTTCATTTTATATCACAGTTCAACAACAACAAAAAAAAAAACCCTGTTGACCACTTTCTTAGGATGGGTCCGTTTTTAACTGGAGCAGGGCGGGAAGACAGGAGGGGGCGAGAGGCTTTGCAGCGAGCGCAGGACTGGTCACTGAGCGGTCAGGTTGGGTCCTAGGCTAGGACACTAACGGGCCTCGGAATCCACGTCCTGTTGTCATCACGTACACGACATCCACGAGCATGTTCTCTGTGGGGTCTCGTTCTTCAGTTCATTTTAAGGAAGAGCACGTTCACTGCCTTCGTGTGTGTAATTCAGACTAGACTACAAATTGCCTCCTTGCTGGAGCATTCTTTTTGTTTTTTACTGTGTTTTATTGCTTTTTTAGAAAGGGGAAAGGGGGGAGAGAGAGAGAGAAACATTAATGTGAGAAACAGATCTTTGCCTCCTGTACACCCCTACACCCCCTACTGGGGATGGAGCCCGAAACCCGGGAGTGTGCCCCAACCAGGAATTGGACCAGGAATTGAGCATCCGTCCCTGGGACGACGCTCAGTCCACTGAGCCCCCGGTGGGGCCTGACCGGAGCTCCTAGAGGAACTGTCCAGAACTGGTGTCTTCGCACCAGCACTGAACCTGAGGTGCGTCCATTGTAGGGCGCACTGTTTCATTGCTGCCAAAAGGAAAGGCTGCCCGCTGGTTGTGAGCTGCTGTCAGTGGTATGGTGTCCCGACTGCAGAGACGTTCACGTGCGAAAACAGAAGAGTGAATTTTAGAATCAATGAAATATAATAAAATAGAAGTCGTCTTTCCACAAATAGATATGTCAAGATCACTTGAAGAATTACTGGCATATTTCCCCCATGGACTAGTTTTTACTATTTTTTATGCCATTTCTTAGAATGAGCTCAGAGCTCAGCTTCATGTGAACGAAAACAGTCCTAAGAGGGCGAGTTCTCACAGTATTTCACTAATAACATTTATCTGTTCTTTTAAAAGTAGATAGTTGCCCTGGCCGGTTTGGCTCAGCGGTTAGAGTGTTGGCCTGCAGACCAGAGAGACCCGGGTTCGGTTCCCGCTAAGGGCACGTACCTCGGTTGCAGTTTGTCCCCGGCCCTGGTTGGTCGTGTGGGTGGTAGCCACTCGATGTGTCCCTTTGACATCGATGTTTCCCTCTCTCCCTCCCACTGGATCTGAAGATAAATGCAAAAATGTCCTCGGGTGAGGATAAAAAATAAAAGCAGATAGTCAAAGCATTCTCAGGGGAAAAAGGTTATGCAGTTTGTTTTTAAATTACTGTTAGGAGATCGAGGGTATGAGTGTCATGAAGGAGGCAGAATCGCTCCCTGAGGTGCCCCCACTCCCTTCACATCTGAATGGGACATGAGTTTTTTTTAAGTAAGGCTCTACCCTGCAGATGTTCAGGTGAGGAGAGCTGTGTTTCTGGTGTGCCCCAGATATTCTGGTGCAGCCGGGCCGTTGGGTAAGGTGGCTGCTGGTACAGATCACATACACATTTCTTGAGGCCAGTTTTATATACAAGTACATATTGGGGAAACGGGCAGTTTTATGAAGATGCTTGAGGGTAGCAGGCATGGAGCAGGGGTCAATGGTGGTGTGAAGCTTGGTTCAGATTAGTCAGGGAGTCCCAGAATTTGGAGTAGAGATTTAAGGGCCAAAAGGAGTGGCTGAGATGTAGAATTGGATAGAAAAGTCCAGAAATACAAACTAAAAGAGAGAAAAATGGTAGACGCGAAGGAAAGGCTGGCCGAGAGGTTTGCTCAACCCTCTGGAAGTCACCAGCCCGGCCCGGCTTCTCTCTGGCTCACAGACACCCGGGTGTTGTTAGGACAGAACTTGGCTCTTGTTCAGCCGTCGGCCGTCTGCTTCAGGGGCACACTGCTGCTCGGCCTGGTCAGGAGTGTCTCACGCACCCGGGTGGGTGGCGACTGTCACTGCTTACGGTCTGTCCTTGTTGAAGAATTTCATGCCCGATTTATGTCCTCAAAGCAGAAGAAGAGAGTGAACTAGGTCTACATAGATTCTCAGCACCATGTGATAATTTTCATAACAAAACTTACCACACTCTTCAGTATCACGTGTGAGGAAACCGGAACTCAGAGAGATTCTGGCCTGCAGAACCCAGCGGCAGACTAAACGCACCCGCTAGCGAAGTGCTTCCCCAGAGGCCAGAAGCGGTCCTATAGCCACTGTCTGGGTCCGGTGTTCGTGGGACGGGGGGAGGCTCGTTCCCCGAACAGCGCCCCTTCCCCTTGGGTTCCCAGCAGTGGGTGAGGACAGATCTGGCAGGCATGGTGGCCCAGGACACAGAGCAGAGGGCGGCCGTCGCAAACGTGCAGTCTGACGTCTTCATGTTGGGCTGCCATCCTCTCTCCTGATCTGGTGGATGTTTTGGTATCAGGTCGCTCTTACAAAGAGGTCTCTAGGGTTTCATCGTCACGGCCAGTGAAAAGTTCAGAAAATGAAAACTGTTGTATCCAACAAGTGATGAAAAGAAGTCTTAGTGTGAAGAGGAAGTCATGTAAGGAAGAGGTAGATATGTGTTCAGCCTACTTTTTAATTTCCCCCAGTAATTTGCCTTTTGCCAGTCTCCATGTTAAATTAGTATAAAATATATCCAACTTTAAGAAAACCTATATATTAAAATCCAGGTCTGTGTACTAAATGAATTCAGTTCAAGGAAGCATGCAGATTCTTTTCAGAATGTTCATGTACATATCTTTCCAATTTCCAAATGTCCTACTGCATTCTAGACAGTTTTTGGTTAGGTCAGTTTTGTTTTTATCCTCACCCAAGGACATTTTTCCATTGTTTTTGTTCAGATAGAGTGGAAGGGAGGGAGGGAGGGAGGGAAGGAGAGAGAGAGAGAGAAACGTCGACATGAAAGGGACACATCGAGTGGTTGCCACCCGCACAACCAACCAGGGCCGGGGATAAACTGCAACCAAGGTACACACCCTTAGCGGAAACCAAACCCGGGTCTCTCTGGACCGCAGGCCGATGCTCTAACTGCTGAGCCAACTGACCAGGGCTTGGTTAAGTCGGTTTTAAATGGCATGTATCTATTACATAAAGTGATGCACCTTTACAATTCAATTCTTTAATTATTCTCTAAGTGGTTATTTTTAAGAAAAATAAAATAATTGTAGTCTCTTTTATAACAATATCCTCTCAAAATGCTTATTGCTAAATTTTGTGGGATGTATTAGGTACTTCAATTAAAAATAATTTTTTTAAAGGTAGGCTGCCCGTGGGTATGTAAATGTTTTACAGATTATATGTATCTGAGACTGATCAGCCAAGATAATAATGGGAAATGTTCCCCAGCAGAATTCAGTTGCTGCCTGTTTCTCAAATCACTCTTTTTACATATTTATATTTCAATACATCCTGATTCTAAAAGTAATACATATTTATTGTGAAAATGTTAGAATGCAGGAAAGCGTAGAGTAGTTGAGAGCTCGCTGCCTGGATCGCATCTGTTCCCCCGTTTACTAACCGACGAGCAAGTTCTCAAACCTCCGTCTCTGACACGGTGAACAGTGCTCCCTCCGCCGCGGGGAGGCGCTGGGCAGAGGCGTGCGCAGCGGTGGCTGCCATGTCTGCTCCGCTGGGGTCCTCGTGTTCTGGTCGTGAGCTTTCCAGTCCAGCCTGAAGAAATTTTAGAATCGTGAAAGTAAACGCAAGAGCTAGTTCTTACAAGACACACTGCAGGGAGTTCATCTAAGCGTTCATATATTAGTGTGCCACTATGCTCATTTACAGTCCACACTGTAGCAGAGGAAATTGTTTATAGTGATAACAGTGGAACATTATTGCTTTAAATTCTTTTGGCACTAAGGTGGGGGTTGGGAATGCACAGATATGTGATGCATTAAGAATGAAGATGAATTTACTTTGTCACACGAAGTATCTCAGGCAGGACTAGAGGAAAGTGCACCATGTCCTTTGGAAGGAAGGGTGTCAGTCGCACCGATGTGAAGTCAGCTCTCTCGTGACTGTAGGGAGCGTCGTCTAAACACCAGGCAGTCTTCCTGCACCTCAGTGCAGCGCACCTGGTAGGAGCAGGCTTGTCTTCGTGCGGTGGGGCACACATGAACATCGGCTTCCGCCCTGGACCACCTGGGAGGGGCGAGCTGGGTCGCGGGGCCAGGAACGGCTCCATGGCGGTGCGGGGTGTGGGCTCATGGGGAAACCGCATTCGAGCCAAGGTGATCACCCTGACATCGTCCTCAGAATTGTGTGTGTGCGGTAGCTCAGAACAGGTTTCCACTGGAATTATTTTCCTCCGAGGTCATTTTCAAAACTTGGGGCTAGGCTCTAAAACTAAATTTTGAATCTTGAGCAAAACTGTTTTAAAAGGTAATATGATGTGCTATCTTAATATTGCCCACGTTACAACTATCATACTTGTTTATTAACACATTTTTGACTGCTCACAAGTTAGCTCGTGTTCTCCTGCCCAAACACTGCGGACCGCGCACAAGTTAATGGGTTTGCACTTGCATCAGCTACTTCAGTTTTTGAAACTCAGGGTAACTACAGAATCGTATTGGTGACTCTGCCCTGAGGGTCGAAGTTCGAAAAACACACACTATTCTATGTTCTTGAAGTAGCGAGGGAAGGGATATCTGCTGGTTCAAATGAGTGAGCTCAGAGCCTAACATGCAGTTTGCCTGAAAACGTGCGGTCCCCGGCGTACGTCTTAGAGATTTCCATGTGGTACGCAGTGTGTTAAGCCTCTGCAACTTGGCCATATGAAGAGTACTAGTCCTCCCTCCTTTTCCTTTGCAGATGAGGAAACAGGCTAAATTGAGTCGCTTGATAAAGTTAAAAGTTGTGTTGGTCAGGACTGCTGTAATCTGACTCGGTGTTTCTACAACTGTCTCAAAAATAATCTTGATAACAAATAGGCATAAAATGTTCCTGTAAATGTTAGAGACTGCTGTTGGACAGGACATACACTTTAAAGCTAAAGAGTCGAAACTCACAGAATCATAGAATCCAAAAGCTGATGATTTCCAGATCATTTTGGTCTTTGTTTTTGACTGCAAGCCCTAGTAAGAGATACTGGACACAGCCCCGGCACACATGCTGTCTGTCCCGGGGCCCAGGCAGTGCTCCCACAGAGCAGCAGGTGGCGTTCTGCGTGGAGCGCATCCTGATTTCCCCACGGCGGCGGACCACGGAGTGGACTAGACTGCCATCAAGTCCCAGCTGGCGGTTTGGAAAAAACACTGATCTCAGGCAGCCAACCTGATTCACAGATGTGTGCACACACACTCTCACACTTACGGACACTGGAATGTCCATACCGCTGCTGTCTCCCTGAAGGGTACTCCCGGACTAGTTAGTTATTCCAGCAGTGTTCACATTGCTCCAAAACAAAATACTTTTAAAACTAGTTGGAATAGTTGCCAGTAACCTGAATACCCTTTAAATATTCTGTTTTGGCAAATTAAAAAAATGTTTTTAACAGCCAGAGGTGTGTGAAGTTAATTCAGTAAACAAGGTAGAGGATCATCCAGCCATGCTGTTAGTAAATTTCAGATACATAAAACAACACATTGCAGCGTAAATGTTTAGAGGGAGGCAGGGAGAAATCTGGTGTGATTTTATGATTCGTCTTACAATGCCTAAGATTAATCACTGTATATTCTGTAGATACAAAGAAATTGTAAAGATTTATAGATAACAAGAAGTTGAGAGGACAGAGCAAGTGTGTATCTCACCTGCTGTGAAACGTTAGTGGTGTGAAACGTGTTCTATTCCACTGAAAAGTGGCCACTCACACTGTTACAAGAGATCGTCCATGGCTTCCCTATTCGGCTAGTGCACTTTTAAACTGAAAGTATTTTACATGTGGCTTAATACATATTAAGATTTATTCTTGAGTTTCTATTCTAATATAAAAAACTACAGTGAGCAATTTAGATGTCAGACTTCTGAATTTCATTGTTTTTGTTGAAATTATTTAGTTTGAGTAGTCACTTAAGAGTTTTGCTGACTTGTTTATCCTAATCCTGCAGGACAAACAAGTAGAAAATCTACACACAAGTAACAGAAAATATAATTCTAATATTCTATTCTGTGCTAATTTCCTAAGAACTCAGTTGTTGGAAAGCAATTCTTTTATAATGACTCTATGCTGGTTTTCTGTCCTGTTTTCCCATCTGTGCAACTAAGTTTCTGCCTTCACTGGCTGTTTACCATCTTGCTTCTTTCTTTACCGTTTGGAACAAACCAAAAGTCAGGAGTCTGTGTGCTGCCGAGCCCTCCTCCCGTCAGCTCCGCCCTTTGTCTTCCCTCCGCAGCTGGAGATGATCGCCATGGAGAACCCCGCCGACCTGAAGAAGCAGCTGTACGTGGAGTTCGAAGGAGAGCAAGGAGTTGACGAGGGAGGTGTTTCCAAAGAATTTTTTCAGCTGGTTGTGGAGGAAATCTTCAATCCTGACATTGGTAAATACTTCAGTGATGTGTCATGGTATTCTGTCTTTTTGAATTAAGTATTTGTTCACCTAGATTTATAAATGTCCGGTCATGAAGAGCAGAAGTAGACGGTTCTGGTGTGGCTCACTTAGTCACAGACGCCCACGCATTTGTGGGTTCTGGTGTGGCTCACTTAGTCACAGACACCCACGCATTTGTGGGTTCTGGACTGATCTGCACGGCTTGTTTTACCCAAGCTGTCATCCAGATCACCTGGCCAGCGTTTGACACGGGGCTCTTGGTGAGTGAACGAAGCCCTGCAGGACGGACCCTCGGGGCCTCTCACAGTCACGGCATTTCCGAACCAGGTGCCTCGCGTGGTGGTCTGAACGGGGGGCTGAGCTCGCTGTGCCCGGAGTTCAGAAGCAGGCTGACATCCCCTCGGTTGGGTTCGTTTACTACAGCGCCTCACACTTTCTGAACTCCAGAGGCCGCTTTCTGTGCCACGTCGGATAATTGCCTCCCAGAGCTTTCACTGGACAGAGTTTGGGGAGTCGGACCTGCCTGTTGGAACTGGAACTGCTCGACAGGCGAGCAGCAGGCAGAGCGGAACGGTGGGGCGAGCGGGGGCCGCCTCGGGACAGTCGGGAAAGGCTTGCACGGAGGGTGCCCTCAGCCGTGAGGACGGCACGGGCTCGTGCACAGTTCCCGTGAGCCACAGCCTGCTGACCCCCGGGGCGCACCCAGGAGACTCCTCTGCTGCTCTTCTGGTCAGATGTACACACGAGTGTGAATGGAATTAGACATCTGAGTTCATGACAAACAGTCGTAAGATTGTCTCTCTCTCCTAGCCAACATTAATCATCAGAAGGCCATGCCGTTTGTTCACACTAAACAAGACACAAAACCATGCCCTTTTTGAGAGAGAAAATTAGTTTATAAGCTTCATAAGTGTGGTAAACCTGATATATCTAGAAATATTAAACATTAGCTGTAAAGTATATTTACATGCCCAGCTGCTATAGCTCAGTGGCTGAGCGTCAACCCATGGACTAAGAGGTCGGCAGTTCGATTCCCGGTCAGGGCACATGCCCAGGCTGTGGGCCCGATCCCCAGTGGGGGGCGTGCAGGAGGCGGCCAGTCGATGTTCTCTCCCATCGATGTTTCTCTCCCTCTAAAACCAATAAAGAAAAAAATTGTAATGAATACAGTATATTAATACTCTGTGCAGAACTACTAAGAAAGACATACCTTATACATCTCTATTTGATGTGAGGTGATTGAAATGATGGCAGAGAAAGAACAGAGAAGAATTTTAGAAGAATCACATCCTTTGCTTTATGATGTTTCCTAGTACCTGAAAAAATGTGTCCAAAGTGGAACCTCCTTCCTTGTACTTCCAACTACTTTCATTCAGAGACGAGGAGAGTGACCTGTGTGCCCGGCATCACGATCAACCTGTAGTTTGTTGCTTTTGAGACCAAGGACAGACATTTGTGAGACGTTGTCCAGCTCACTCGTTGGTTGTCATTCCTTGAGGCAGCCCTGGCCTGTCGATACATATTCATGGCTCGGAGGAGCCTCCAGCACCTCGGGCCTGCAGTGTGAGGCTGTGGAAGGTGCAGTCCCAGGACGAACGGGACAGGGACTGGGAACGTGTCTTAGCTCAGCGCATGCTCTTATGGTCAAGGGGACTTTTTTTTTTTTTTTTTTTTAAATCTTTACCAGAGGACATTTTTGCATTTATCTTGAGATACAGCAGGAGGGAGAGAGGGAGGGAGGGAGGGAAAAAAACATTGATGTGAGAGAGACACATCAAGTGGCTGCCACCCACACAACCCCAACCAGGGCCGGGGACAAACTGCAACTGAGGTACGTGCCCTGAGCGGGAACCAAACCCGGGTCTCTCAGGACCATGGGCCAGCGCTCTAACCATTGAGCAAACTGGCCAGGGCCAAGGGGACATTTTAAAACTTCCTTTTATATTTAACTTCAACTAAATGAAAATGAAGAAATATTTTTAAGCTTTAAAAAAAAATCTTGTGATTTATTTATATGCTGTATTGCTTTCTGAAGTTTGTTCTACTTTAAAGTCCCCATTTTTCAGAACTACTTCTTAAACTACTTTTATTTAGTAAAATATTTTTCAGTTGCTATTGAAAAGTAAAAATTACAAAGCTGTAAACTCAGTTATAAGATTGTTTAAGCTTTTCCTTAGATGTTCTTCTAAAGAGAAGGTAATTCTGCCCTGGCCGGTTTGGCTCAGTGGTTAGAGCATCAGCCTGCGGTCCCGAGAGACCCGGATTCGGTTCCTGCTAAGGGCATGTACCTTGGTTGTAGTTTGTCCCCGGCCCTGGTCGGTCGTGCAGGTGGCAGCCACTCGATGTGTCCCTTTCACGTCGATGTCTCTCTCTCTCTCTCTCTCTCTTCCTCTCTCTCCTTCCCACTCTACCTGAACAAAAAATGTCCTTGGGTGAGGATAAAATAAAAAAATAAAAAAATAAAGAGAAGGTAATTCTACCTTACATGATTATTTAGACTGGTGGGACCAAGAGCTTCTGTGTTTAGATGGGGTTACAGAAGTTCTCCGAGCTTGGGTTGTGGGTAGTGACAGCCGTAAGGAGCTGAGCGCGCTGCACGGACAGACAGCTTTTGTTCTCCTGGTCCCTGCTAACGCGTGTACTCAGCAGCTTTGAGTTTGGACATAATCTAAGTTTATGGATGTGGCATCACCTGAACTTGTTAGAAGGTGCTAGAAACACTTCAGGGGACCATGGTGCAATGTTGAAAAAACACTTTCCTGTGAATTCCAAAATTGTGTTTTAAAACGGTACATGTGGGTTAAATGTTTTTATAAGTGAAACCTTTTCACAATAGGATAGCCTTTTATTTTTTTGGCATTTTTTTCAACCATTTGGTGGATAAAGTATGAATGCAAATTACCCTCATTTGTATTAGAAGATTAGAGAACTTGAATTTAATGAACATTTTCCCAAACTTATTGAAAAATGACACAAAAATTGATTACTTTGTTTCCTTTGCTTCTTTAAAGTTATGCACAGTACTACCTTTGCCACAATTTATAATAATCATATATTTGAACTTTGGTTTCTCAAGTGCTAATATAGTAGAAAAGTTTTTGTATACTTGTTATATATTTTATGTATAATTTGTATTTGTATTGTCATCAGCCTTCAATAAAATCAGTGATGCATTTTTAAAAATGATTTCCTATAGGTATGTTCACATACGACGAGTCTACGAAGCTGTTCTGGTTCAACCCCTCCTCCTTGGAGACGGAGGGCCAGTTCACGCTGATCGGCATCGTGCTGGGCCTGGCCATCTACAACAACTGCATCCTGGACGTGCACTTCCCCATGGTCGTCTACAGGAAGCTCATGGGCAAGAAGGGGACCTTCCGCGACTTGGGAGACTCCCACCCTGTGAGTCTTCTCGTCTGCTCTCTGCTTAATAGAAGTACCATGAACAGTTCTAAAACCTCAAATGGGGAAGTTTATTTTGTTTTTTAATATGTTTTTATTGGTATTTTTAGAGAAATAGAAACATTGATGTGAGAAGAGAAACATTGATCGGCTGCCTCCTTCATGCCTCCCTAGTGGGGATCGAACCCGAAACCTGGGCATGTGCCCTGACCAGGAATCGAACTGTCCGGGACCTCTCAGTCCATGGACAATGCTCAGTCCACTGAGCCACCGCGGCTGGGCCAGGGGGCAGATCTGAGATTAATTCCTGCAGAGAGTTCAAGCGTTTTGTTCGTATTGTGATCGTGTGAGCTCGCAGTGAAATCAGAACTGCCCTGAGGAGGGCTGGGGCTGCAGTCCGTGTGTCCGCACCTCCCCCGTCCTCCCCGACCTGAGACGGGCACAGGGGAAGTCCATTGTCGGCCTGGAGGCATGGGGTCCTCAGCAGAGAATGGACATCATCAGGGACTGAGTCTTTAGTATCTGTAGTATAAACTACTTGGGGGGCAGGAGGGATGCTATCTATGTTTTCATTCTTATTGTCAAAGTTTGGTTTTCTTCTTCCAAGAAGAGTATTATGAACTGTTGCATTTTGTAGCTCTTTGGTAACCTTATTTTCCATTTCTGATTTTTAGGTTCTATATCAGAGCTTGAAAGATTTATTGGAGTATGAAGGGAATGTGGAAGATGATATGATGATCACTTTCCAGATATCTCAGACAGATCTTTTTGGTAATCCAATGATGTACGATCTAAAGGAAAATGGTGATAAAATTCCAATTACAAACGAAAACAGGAAGGTAGGAAATGTTTTTGTATCATTTTTGTCTCTTTATGAACAGAATTTCAAAACATATGCTGCTTGTAATTTTAAAACAAGTATTTACTGTAGTCCATACAAAGACCCACGTCACGTGTCCAAGTTCTGGTAGATGCAGTGGCCCCGGTTTCCTGCCTGTGGGATGTGGGTGGTGTGAGGACCCGCAGCTGAGCCTGCGCCCAGGCATGGCCCGTGGGGCAGGGTCTGAGCTGCAGGCAGGTGGCGCTCACTTCCTGCGGAGCAGAGGGAGGCAGGGCCCTCAGGGGTAAGGCCCTTATCACCAGTGAGCTCACACTGAATGTGCACTTGTGTGTGTGGCGTAAATACACTCCCGAGAAGCATCCTGGTCATATTTGTGTTTCTGTTGACTGGAAAAGTGAACACATGGAAACAAGGGAATAACCCAGATCATGGCAGGAAAAAATAGAAATATATTAACCTTTTTAAAAAATGTAATGTTTTTGATGTTGTGCCTCCTCATCCAAGGATATTTTTCCAGTTTTTTTTAGAGAGTGGAAGGAGGGGGAGTGAGCAAGAGAGAAACATTAATGAGACACATTGATTAGTTGCCTCCTACATGATCCCAAGATCGAACCTGAGACCCTTCGGTCCGAGTGCAGACACGCTAATCACTAAGCCATGTGGCCAGGCTGTATTATCATTTTGATATACTATTATACTCACTAAGAAAAGCCCACGTCCCTTCCGTGGCTTGGTGCCGGAGCTTATGTGTCGCGTGGACATGGAAGTTCTTGCTGGGCTGGGTGCAGCTGGCAGCTTCCTGGAGTCTGGGACAGACACGCGGGGCCCTGGTCCGCACTCTGAGTGCCTCTGGTGTGTGCACACCTGGTGGAGGGGACCTCAGAACTGTGGATGCCCAACTTTTGCATTCAGTCTATTTTAATATCAAAATGGGAACTTAGTTTATGCACATGGCCTATTATTCACAGGTTAGCGTTGCTATTGCAGAGAGCTGTGAGATTGTTCAAGGTATTAGTCTTTGCATGTATATAACTGGACTTTTAAAAAACATTTTTGAGCCCTGGCCGGTTTGGCTCAGTGTTTAGAGCATCAGCCTGAGGACCAGTGAGTCACAGGTTCGGTTCCAGACAAGGGCACATACCTCGGTTGTAATTCGTCCCCGGCCCTGGTTGGGGTCGTGCAGGGGGCAGCCACTTGATGTGTCCCTTTCATGTTGATGTTTCTTTCTCTCCCTCCCACTCTATTTGAACAAAAATGGAAAAATGTCCTCCGGTGAGGATACAAAAAAATGTTTTTGAGTATCTTTCCTTTGAGAAAATACATACAAAAATAATTTAAAAAGCTGTGCAGCTCAGTAGCTTGTGTTTGGTTTGTACACATGTAAGAAGTTCCTGTGGTCAATGTTTCTGCAGGAGTTTGTCAATCTCTATTCTGACTATATCCTCAATAAGTCAGTAGAGAAACAGTTCAAGGCTTTTCGGAGAGGTTTTCACATGGTGACCAATGAATCTCCCTTGAAGTACTTATTCAGACCAGAGGAAATCGAACTGCTCATCTGTGGAAGCCGGGTAAGAAAGCAGGCGTGCGCCGAGCTCCTCGCGGGCTTTGTGCTTGCGATGTGCGGTGGAGACCGCGGTAAGACGTCTTGTTTTTAATTCGCAGAACCTGGATTTCCAAGCACTAGAAGAAACCACAGAGTATGACGGTGGCTACACGAGGGACTCTGTTCTGATCAGGTGAGGTTTACATTTTTAAAAGTCCCTGTCACTTTTTAAATATATATTTTTACTGTATACAGTATTACAGATGTCCCCCCTTCCTCCCCAAGTCTTTACCACACTGTCGTCTGTGTCCGTGGGCTGTGCCTATAAGCATGTAAGTTCTCTGGTTTACTCTCTCATCGCCTGGCCCGACATAGGTCAGTCTGTTGCATGGCTCAGTAAGTGAGATCATGTGATACTTGTCTTTGGTTGGCTTATGTCACTTAGCATAACAGGTGCATCCTTTTTTACAGTTGTATAGAATTCCATTGTGTAAATGTACCACTTTTCCAAAATTAGTGTTAAACTTATGGATACTTGAACACTCAGACAAGCATGCCAATCAAGGTAGCTTTTAACGAGCTTGTGTTTTGTTTTTAGAGTAAGTATATATAACAAGGACCCTTGTAACATGACTTTCCCCGCGGAGGCTTAGGGACGCGGTCAGGACCCCGAGATAGCTGCATGTGGCAGGAAGCGGCCCCCACCGCACTCTCGGCGAGTGCCCCAGTGTAGGGGAACGCTGTATGCCTTTGTATCAGACTCTTAGGTATGTGGGCTGGTATTTTTTCCTTTTGTTCTTAATCTGTATCACCCCTTCCCCGGAAGGTTGAGTTTGGTATAAGTGGACAAAGAGTAAAGAAGGCAGGGTAAATAAAACCTATATATGGAAGACATCCCGAGTGTGTCCTTTGAGTCATTTTCAGCTCATGGAATTTGGGTTTTGTCTTTGGTTACTGACTATATTTTGAATATACCACAGTTTACATAATTATTTTCTATAGTCGGACACTCAGGTTTGCCCATTTTTACTGTTCTAAGCCATGTGATGATGAACACAGCAAGCCTCTGTGTCCCTAACACTGTCCCTTGAGCTCAGTGTGCACACCTGGGGTCCTGATCACAGGAGCCACCTCCCACACTCTCACGTGGCTTAGTGCCGATCATCCAGTCACGTGACAGGTGCCCAGCTGAAACCAGCTGCCGTCTTCTCTCCGCAGGGAGTTCTGGGAAATTGTTCACTCCTTCACCGACGAGCAGAAGAGGCTGTTCCTGCAGTTCACCACCGGCACCGACCGAGCACCTGTGGGTGGGCTCGGCAAGTTGAAGATGATTATAGCCAAAAACGGCCCGGACACAGAACGGTAATGACTAGATTGCGACCGCATATGGACAAGCTCGCCCTCTCCCTCACACGTGAGCCCCCACAGCTCCAGACAGCCCCAGACCCTGTGCACGTTGTTAGTTCAGAGAATATTCTGCTCCTGTTGAGGACAGTTTTTTTTTTTGCAGGGCTCACTTGATTTGGAATTTTTCAAATTGGCAGGAGTCAGTCCGGTTTTGGTTCAGAATTAAATCGAAAGCCATATTATGTAATACTTAAAGTGGTGGAATCAGGCTCAGAAGACGTTTTAGCACTGGATTGTCACAGTGATAATTTCATAGTCTTCACAATGGTGTCCTCTCCCAATTGGGTGAGGACCATGTATGAGCAGTATCCTACTTAATAGTTTAAATGGATAGACTCTATTTTAACGTGTATTAGCATTAATGTAAACTTGTATTTGTTACCAAATCATTTACATATATCTCCTGGATTATTTCCAATAAGCATCCAAGAGCACTTTAACATCTTGAAAACCAAGTTTAAATATTACCTCCGCCTTAAAGTGAGACCTCCCAGTGACTTCCGCTCTGCAGTGGGGACACCCGCTCTAGGTGTTGGGAGGGGGCTGAGCACCTCATGAGGGCCGTGTCGCCCTTGGCAGCCAGCTCAGAGGTCGTGCCGAGCTGGTTCTGGGGCTGCAGCAGGAGGCCTGCCTGACGGCTTGCGTTGACGTACAGTCTGCACTGCAAACCCTCAGCTGCGCACACCAGCCAGTAGGGTCAAGATCGCCGAGCTGGCTTCCCGTGACTGACTGCCGTTTCCCTCTCTCTCTGCGCAGGTTACCCACATCTCATACGTGCTTTAATGTCCTTTTACTTCCGGAATATTCAAGCAAAGAAAAACTTAAAGAGCGATTGTTGAAGGCCATCACCTATGCCAAAGGGTTTGGCATGCTGTAAGAAAGCAAGCAAGAGAAACATGGAAGGAAATGAAATGTGCAGTTTTAACAAGCACCACCAGAGGGCACACGTGGTGGTCGTGCGCACAGGCTGTGAGAGCAGGTGGTCGCCTGGGCCTCCCTTCCTCATCGGTGTGTGGGCTGCAGCAGCGGATCTCAGCTACTCATAGGAACAAATCCTTTATTATTATTATTTTTCCTGCGTGAAAGTGTTACTTATTCTTTCACTTGTATGTACAGAGAGGTTTTTCTGAATATTTATTTTAATGGTTAAATCACTTTTGCTTGTGTTTATTACTGCTTGAGGTTGAGCCTTTTTTGAGTATTGAAAAGACATATACCAACAAAACTGCTCCCCTAAGGAGAAGATGCCACCATCTGTAGACCATGTAACCTTCAAGTAAGTATGTGCTCTTTCTCGTCCCTGTATCTAACTCAAATCAGGAACTGTCTTTTTTTTAATAATTTGCTTTTGAAACTTGAAGTCTTGCAAACAGTGTGATGCAGTTGCTGCTGTCCTAGTCCCCACAGAGCTTTCTGTGCAAAACCTTGAAATCAATAAAGATGGAGGGAGAACTCGGAATGTTGCCTGCGGCCCTCAGAACTCTTAGCCCAGCAGCCTCCCGCCTCGCGCCCCGGTGCCGTCCTCACGTCCTGCAGTGAGCTCGTCTGTAGCCAGTCAGTCGCCCTCGTCGGTGGAGGGCAGGGGTTGCTTTTGTTCTTGTTGTCGTTGTTGTTGTTTTAAGTTTACTGGGGAAAAGTGCATTTGGCCAAAAGAATTGGTGAGTGAAGCCTGTTGCAAGAAAGTTAGGTTTGCTGTTGAAACACAAAGCATGTGAAAGTGCACTTAAAATAAATCTGATTAATGACCTATCACCTGCATTCTACATAGACAATCCAAAGTCTTCCCTTCGTGCTGGCCTCGCCTTGTCCCCGCGGCCCTCTGCCCAGGCACCGAGCGCGGCCGCGCAGGAGGACGCCGTGCGCCCCGTTCCCCAGCAGTGGGCAGGCCGAGCGCCTGTGTCCCCAAAGGTCCATTGTACTTCGAACGTGAGTGTGAAAGACGACTTCCATGTACTGTGGTCGTACACATAGGTTTAAATTATTGGACGTTCAGAAGTGAGTAGTTCCCCCTCTCTAGTCTGTGTCTACGATGTTAATTTCTCCCGTTGCAATATGAAATAAAAGGATTATGTATTTCAACCACGGAGACATGCCACAGCCTCCACTGCCGCTGCAGTGCTCAGCTCGGCCAGACCCGTCACTACAGGAGACAGCTCGGAGTCACTGGCGGGAAAAGGATGTCTCTCAGGATTCTTGCCCTTTTAGTAACTGACATAGAACTGCCATGTACCACGATGCTAAGTGACCAGTGCCATTCTCACCACAGCCTGCCGGGAGGGGGCGGTGCTTCCCTCCGTGACAGGGCCGTGGGGGTCGGGCCTCCTGCTGCGGCCCCCCGAGGCCGCGTCTGTGCGGGTACGAGGGGGGCGTGAGGAGAGACCTCGGGGCGTTTTATACAATAAACTTGTGAAGCAATCTGTGCTCTTCGGGTCTCAAGTCTTATTCTCCCTGTGCCATTGGAGTCACTCTGTGTGAAGTTGGGTGTCAGGCACGGGGCAGGCTTCTAGCTGACCGCGGGAAACCAGGAACCCCCGACAGGTACTTGGAGAGCAAAGTGCGTGGTGACCTGGACTAGCCGCTCCCACTGCCGCGATCTGAACCGTCCGGGCACGCGGCCGCCGTGTCCCAGGCTGTCGCTGAAGTAGCCTAAGGAAGAGGCCAGCAGGCGTTTTTACTGAGGGACACTCCTGTGCGCCGAATAAATGCACGGAAGGACATTCTTTTGCCACGGGGTGGGGGTTCCAGCGTGACTGTGCCACACTGTTCTCCATGTGAGCAGCCGTGACCCTGCCCACAGGAAGCCCAAACACAGAACACTAACGTGGGTGCATTTCATGACACAATACAAACAGCCAGACTACTCTGGGGCCTGGCAACTTCTGCACGTAAGTTGGATTTGCTGACCCCCCTCTGCTGCTTTCCGGAGCTGTGGGTAATTGGGGGATAAAACCCGGTTAGTCGCTCCCTGTGGACAGAGGTGTGTGTCGAACAGAACTCGCTGCTCCGTCCCCCCGGCACATGTCCAGGTGGACAGGGGTTTACAACCTGGCAACGTCCCTTTGTTACCTTAAGAACTCGGCTGTGCCAGGACTTTAGGCCCCTTTTAGGGAATTTCTCAACAACCTGATAGAAAGTGTCAGAAGAAGGAGCGACTTCCCAAGGATACTCTATCTGTGGTCTTGATCCCCTCACCTGGTTACCTTAAATACACTTTTTTGTTTTATCCTCATGGGAGGACATTTTTCTTCTTTTTTCCTTTTTGCATTTATCTTGAGATAGAGCAGGAGGAAGGGAGAGAGACATCGAGTGGCTGCCACCCGCATGATCCAAATCAGGGCCGGGGACAAACTGCAACCGAGGTCCATGCCCTCAGCAGGAACCGAACTCGGGACTTTCTGGTCCGCGGACCGACGCTCTAACCGCTGAGCAAAGAGCCAGGGCTTAAATGCACTCTTTAAACCTTTCCCCAGCCTCCAAGGAACCAGCTGCCCCTCCGCCCCCTCCCTGAGCCGCTTCCTCTCATGTACCCGCAGCGGAATCTGGATGAAATCTCGGTCCTGGTCCCGATCGCAGAGTCGCCCGTCTTGGCACTCGCTCCCAAACCCATCAACATCACAACCACAGCCCTGGCCGGTGTGGCCCAGCGGTTAGAGCGTCGGCCTGCGGTCCAGAGAGACCCAGTTCGGTTCCCGCTAAGGGCATGTACCTCGGTTGCAGTTTGTCCCCGGCCCTGGTTGGGTCGTGTGGGTGGCAGCCACTCGATGTGTCCCTTTCACATCGATGTTTCTCTCTCTCTCTCTCCCCCTCCTGCTCTATCTGAACAAAAAATGGAAAAATGTCCTCGGGTGAAGATAAAAAAAAAAGATAGAACCACAGAGCGACCCCAGTTTGAGACGACCTGACGCCAAGGTGAACAGAAGTCCTATCGCTAAGGGTGGCCTCAGGAATCTTGAGGAAGAACAAAGTTGAAGGTAAGCTACGGAAGATGGCCCGCTGAACGGGAGAAGAGCTTTGGGAATGATACGTCTGGTAAAGGTTACTACCCAGAATTCACAAAGAACTCAGTACTCAGCACCAACCAACCAATCCAAGTAAAACACAGGCAGAGGCCCACTTCTCCAAAGAGGACATTCAGATGGCCAACAGGCTGAATGCAAAGATGCTCAACACACTAGAGAGATGCAGAGGACCTCACACCTGGCAGAATGGCTGTCCTCAGTAAATCAACATGTTGGCCATGGGCGGAGCCGGCACCCTCGTGCGCTGCTGGCGGGAACGCAGGCTGCTGCCCCCACTGCGGAAAACAAGGGCCCTCAGAAGGAGAGAAACGGAAGTGCCTCGTGACACTTCTGGGTATATGCACAGAGAAACCCGAGACACTGATCTGAAAGAGTAGATGCACCCATGTTTACTGCAGCATTGTTTACAACGGCCAAGGTATGGAAGCAGCCCAGCGCCTATCAGCAGACGGATGGATAAAAAAGCTGTGGTACGTATATACAATGGGGTATTATTACTCAGCAATAAAACATGAGGACATCTTACCTTCTAAAGCAGTATGGATGGACCTAGAGGATATGCTAAGTGAAGTCAGAGAAAGAAAAATACCATAGGATTTCACTTAATATAAGGAAAAGTATAAACAAGCAAAACAAACATTCCCATAATACAGCGAACAGACTGACGGCTGCCAAAGCAGAAGACGAGACTCTTAAAAGCAGCAAGAGAAAAGCAGGTAGTTACTAGCAAGGAAGCTCCCAGAGGACTGTAGCTGCTTTCTCGGCATCAACCTTGCAGGCCAGAAGGGACTGGGCGAGAACTTCCAGCCACTGCTCTACCCAGCAAGGCTGTCGCTTCAGATCAGAGGAGAGAAAGAGCCTCCCAGAGAAGCAGCAGCTAAAGGAGTTCATCACCACCAAACCATTATTACCAAAAACTAAAAGGTCTTTAAGGAGGAGGCAAAAAATAAACCTGAATAATAAAATGGCAAATACATCTCACTTACCCACAGGTCCGGTTCTCAGGCTGCAACAGCCACTCCATGGCCCGTCTTGAGTTCCACATGGGCCATGCTGCCACAAGGCAGCACCTGCAGGAGGGAGTGGCCAGACGGGGCCACAAAAACAAGGACTTCAAACGCCAATAGATTAAATGCTCCAATCAAAAGACACACAGCGGCCAAATGGACGACAGACAACAAAACAAGGTCTTCACGTATGCTGTCTTCAAATCAACAAACAGACTGAAAGTAAAGGGACAGAAAATGGTATTTCAAGAACACGGAAATGAAAACAGACAAAAAGGCTGGGGTAGCAACACTTCCATCAGACAAAAAGGGACCTTCAAACAAGGCAGGAAGAAACCTGAAACACTACATTGAAAAGGCACACACAGCCACAGGGTCACGGCAGCACTGCCGCCATAGCCACGGTGAGGGGCCATCTAGTGTCCACCCACAGAAGAGTGGGTAAGGAGAGCACAATGGAATACCACTCTGCCAGTAAAAAGAAAAATGACATCTTGCTCCCTGCAACAACATGGACGGGCCTAGAGGGCTTTGTGCTCAAGTCAGAAAGATATATTTTGATTTCACTTAAAAACAGATTCACAGATACAGAGAACAAGTGGTGGTCGCCCGATGGACGAGGGGGAAAGGTGAAGGGATTAAGAAGGCAGTTGCTGGTTACAGAACAGTCACACGGCACAGGGGATGCAGTCAGTAATTGTGTGATGACTGCCTGGTGCCAGGTAAATGCTTAATCACCGAGTTGTATCCCCAAAGTTTATTTTGTACGATTGTAATTGAAAAATAGATATTACAGAAAAAAGGCATGCACTCAAAAGCAACGATTTCCAAGTAAAACAGAATGGGATGTCTATATCACTGGCATGCAGAAGGCTCCAAAAGGCTTCCAAATTCCAAACTAGCTTCGGGGAAAGTTTGTTACAAAAGGCTAGTGAAAAATCAAAGACCCAAGTGCCCATCAGCAGATGAGTGGATAAAAAAGTGGGGGTATGTTTACACCATGGAATACTATGCAGCTGTAAAAAGGAAGGAACCCTTACCCTTTGTGACAGCATGGGTGGCCCTGGTGAAATAAGCCAGTCAATGAAAGACAAGTACCATATATGGAATCTAATGAACAAATACTCACAAAAGAGAACAGACTAGTAACTAGAGGACAGACTGACAGCTGTCAGAGGGGAGGGGGAGGGGGCTGTGTGAAAAAGGTGAAGGGGTTAAGCAAAAAAGAAAAAACCCAAACAGACACAGACAACAGCGTGGTGATCGCCAGAATGAAGGGGTGGGAGGCAGGCGAGGGTAAAGGGGTAAATGGTGCTGGAAGGAAACTAGACTTTGGGTGATGAACACACAACACAGTACTCAGGATGCATTACAGAATTGTTCATTGAAACCTATATACCTTTATTAATCAATGTTACTCCAATAAATTAATACAAAATAAAATTTAAAAAATAAAAGGGCTGTAACTGCCTTCAGAGAAAAGTTGGGAATCGTAACTGCCTGCTGTTGGGACCGAAGCCTGAAGGGCAGCCTCCGACCTGCTTCTGCGACATCCCTGCTCCTTGCAGAGCTCGGTGTGGTCACGGTGCCCGGCCTGGCTGCCCGTGCCCACTGCCTGTCTCCCTCAGAGCTTGGTGTGGTCACGGTGCCCGGCCCGGCTGCCCGTGCCCACTGCCTGTCTCCCTCAGAGCTCGGTGTGGTCACGGTGCCCGGCCCGGCTGCCCGTGCCCACTGCCT